GAGGTCGGGAGTTAAAAACCAGCCTGACCAACCGGGAGAAACCCTGTCTCTACTAAAAACACACAGAAAAATAAGCCATGTATGGTGGCACATGTCTGTAATTCCAGCTACTCAGGGGGCTGAAGCAGGAGAATCACTTGACCCAGGAAGCAGAAGTTGCAGTGGGCCGAGATCGCGCCATTGGACTCCAGCCTGGGCAACAAGAATGAAACTCCATCTCAAAAAAGAAAAAAGAAAAAAAGAAAAGAAAAGAAAGCTCATGGTGCTATGTAACAGAATCCAGCCTATGAGAAGAAACCCAAGAAAAGAGTTAAAAAGAAGAGATGCAATGTGGTTTACGCCTGTAATCCCAACACTGGGAGGCTGAGCCAGGCGGATTACAAGATCAGGGGTTCAAGACGGGTCTGGCCAACATGGCGAAACCCTGTCTCTAATAAAAATACAAAAATTAGCTAGACATGGTGAGATAAAGTAAAGAGATTATAAGCCTCTTTACTTTATAAATAACCCAGCCACAGGGATTTCTTTCTCATTCCCCTTCTTTTTCTTCCTCTTCCTCCTCCCTTTCTTCTTCTTCTTCCCCTTCTTCCTCTCCTCCTCCTCTTCCTCCTTCTTCTTCCTCTTCCTCTTTGCTGTCAGTGAGTTTATTGTCTTTATCTGAATAATCCTCATAGAAAATTGCTTGATTTAGGCTGGGCACGGTGGCTCACACCTGTAATCCCAGCACTTTGGGAGGCTGAGGTGGGCAGAGCACAAGGTCAGGAGATTGAGACCATCCTGGCCAACATGGTGAAGCCTCATCTTTACTAAAAATACAAAAATTAGCTGGGTGTGGTGGCGCATGTCTGCAGTCCTAGCTACTAGGGAGGCCGATGCAGGAGAATTGCCTGAACCAGAGAGTTGGAGGTTGCAATGAGCTGAGATCGTGCCATTGCACCACGGCATGGTGACAGAGTGAGACATCATCTAAAAAAAAAAAGAAAAAGAAAAGAAAAAAAAGTGTTTGGTTTTGTTCTCAGTGGCCCATTCCTGAGCTCTGAGGAAGCTTAACTTCTTTTGAGCTTCCCAATCTTTCTTCCTTCTGAGCAAGGGACATTTTTTGGGGACAGTTCCACCCTCTTTCTTTTTTCTTTTTTTTTGGAGAGAGTATCTTGCTCATTCAGGCTGGAGTGCAATGGCACCATCTTGGCTCACTGCAACCTCCGTCTCCTAAGTTCAAGCGATTCTCCTGTCTCAGCCTCCTGAGTAGCTGGGACTACAGGCACCTTGACCTCAGGTGACCCACCCACCTTGGCTTCCCAAAGTGCTGGAATTACAGGTCTGAGCCATGGCACCCAGCCTATATATATATATATATTTTTTTTTTTTCTCGAGATGGAGTCTCACTCTGTTGCCCAGGCTGGAGTGCAGTGGCATGATCTCGGCTCACTGCAACCTCCACTTCCCTGGTTCAAGCAATTCTCCTGCCTTAGCCTCCTGAGTATCTGGGACTACAGGCGTGCACTGACATGCCCGGCTAATTTTTGTATTTTTAGTAGAGACAGGGTTTCACCATGTTGGCCAGGTTGGCCTCGAACTCCTGACCTCAAGTGATTCACCCACTTCAGCCTTCTAAAATGCTGGGATTACAGGCACGAGCCACCACACCCAGCCTCTGTCTCTCTTTCTTTAAGAGCCTGTAGTCCCAGCTACTCAGGAGGCTGAGACAGGAGAATCGCTTGAACCTGGGAGGTGGAGGTTGCAGTGAGCTGAGATAGTGCCACTGCACTCCACCCTGGGTGGCAGAGCAAGACTGGTCTCAAAAAAAAAAAAAAAAAGATAGAATCTTGCTCTGTTGCCCAGGCTGATTACAGTAGTGCAATCACGTCTCACTGCAGCCTCCACCTCCTGGGTCCAAGTGACCTCCCACCTTGGCCTCCTGAGTAGCTGGGACCACAGGTACACACCATCACACTGGCTCATTTTTTTCATTATTTTCTAGAGAATGAATCTATGTTGCCAAGGCCCAGGCTCAATACATTCTGTCCCCAAATTCACTTCCCCACTACCTGGCTACCCTTGGCCCAAGGATCAGGCCTGGTTTTGGAAAGGAAATGTTGGAAGACAGGGTTCTGAGGAATCTTACAAACAGGGGCCTTTAGAGAGAAGCGCTGTGTGTGGAGAGGGGGCTGCTGGCGAAAGGGCCGCCTCGTCTCACCCCCAAGGAAGGCTGACTTCTGCCTCAGCTCCACTTTCGTCATCTATCCCAGATCCTGGACACTTGGGCCTCTCAGGATCCTCGGCCTCCAGGCTCCACGACTCTTTCTTTTGCTACATCCAGGAGATGACAGCAGCTTTGGAGCCTGCAAATCCTAGAGAAGAGGCCATCTGCGGCACAGGAGGAGAGGCAGGAGCCTAGAGAAAGTGCTTCCTCTGCAGAAATGGGGTGCAACCTCTCCAGCCCTCAGAGAAGCCGCTCCCGAATAGCGGACACTCTCCTCCCAATCACTTGAACCCGGGAGGCAGAGGTTGCAGTGACCGCAGATTGGAGATGGCGCCATTGGACTCCGGCCCGGGTGACAGAGCAAATCTCCGTCTCAAAAAAAAGAAAAAAGAAAACGATTGTTTTTGCTTTCCTCTCTCCCCTGTGCTTCTCATCCACCCAAACAGATTGTCTTTTTACTCCCAGAGGTGTACAGTGGACCCTCATTCCATAATTCACCCCCCTTACAGACTACCAGGCACAGGAAATGCAATGGGCTCATTCATAGTTGAGAGGGAAGCACTCAGGCCTTGGCAACAGGGGAACCTCCTTTGAACCCTGGCTCCACCTGGCGGCAGCTGTTGGATGTAAGCAAGTGTGGGGGAGGTTCATCTGTGAAGCTGGGATCATGCTACCTATTTCACAGAAACGTCATGTGAGATTTAAATGCCTTACCTGTGTAAAGTATAGAGTCTATGACAGGCAGTTATTTCCAAAAGGTTATTATCTGAGGGAGATAGAGTTTGGCCAGCAAGAAGGATGCTTCCTAGTACGTGCCGCTATCTCTAAGCAATGAGACACACCACAGTATACATTCTTGGAGAAGCCTTGAAGTCTGAGGGTGAGGCAGGATAGGTACTCAAGGAAATGACCATGTTGTCAGGATGCAGCGACCCCACAGCCAACACAATAAGCCTCAGCATTCGCATTGTAATTGATATGCAAAGCTATCCTCACTAGGGACTGTCCCTTCTAGAGAGCATGCACATTTTCATTTTCCAGGTCATCAAACGGACCCTTTCCTCATTATAATAGTAAAAACACATCCCTGGGTGGAGATTTACGATGCTGAATGACGAGGTATGAACAAGCATGTGCAGCTACTGCGCATGTGCACCCAGAGGACCACCCAGAACATGCTTACTAGTGACACCTCTTCCCATCCCCTTATGAATAATCGTGTAAGACTCCCATAAAGGAACTCTCCCTAGGGGCCAGTCTTTGCTGTCTCATCCTTACTAGCAGCCTGCCCAGGGTGTCCTGTCTATTCTACACCTCACTTTTTTTTCCTTTGAGACAGGGTCTTGCTCTGTCACCCAGGCTGGAGTGCAGAGGTGCGATTTCGCCTCACTACCATCTCTGCCTCCCGGGCTCCAGCAATCCTCCCACCTCAGCCTCCTGAGTAGCTGGGACTACAAGCGTACACCATCATGCACAGCTAATTTTTCTATTCTTAGTAAAAACAGGTTTCATCATGCTGCTCAGACTGTATGCATCTAACTTTCAAAATATTATTTTTCTTTTGGAATAAATTACTCTATGCTGCACTTTTTTGTGTGTGTGTCTCTTGTTTAAATTATTTTAAACCATTATCCGGGTGTGGTGATGCATTCCTGTAATCCAAGCTACTCGGGAGGCTGAGGCAGGAGAATTGCTTGAACCTGGGAGGTGGAGGCTGCAGTGAGCCAAGATCGTACCACTATACTCCAGCCTGGGTGACAAAGCCAGACTCTGTCTCAAAATAAATTATTTTAAACCAAGAAGAACCAAGGTATCACAACAGCCATCAACAGAAGTACAGTCGGCTTCAGTGTTCCATCCCTTGGCTACTCGGGAATCTCCCATTTCCATATCCCTGGTAATCCCCTCACTCTCTCAGGCTGATTCATTTAGACTTCTGGAAGATATCACCCTCAATCTGGATAAAAGAACTGAGATCCCAACTCTTTTGCTACTGTGTGTGTGCCTGCGTGTGTGCGTGAGAGAGACAGAAACAGACACAGGGTTCTCATTTCATCACCCAGGCTGCAGTGTAGTGATAGAATCACAGTTCACTGCAACCTCGACCTCTTGAGCTTAACTCACCCTCCCACCTCAGTTTACAAAGGAGCTGGGACTACAGGCATACACCACCACGCCCAGCTAATTTTTCCATTTTTTGTACGGATCTGGTTTCACCATGTAGTCCAGGCTGGTCCTGAACCCTGGGCTTAAATGATCCTCCCACCTCATCCTCCCAATCCCTGGGATTACGGGCATGAGCCACCATGCCTGGACCTTTCTAATCTTTTTTAATGAGTGGCACAGCAAACACTGATCTTCACTTTGGAGTGACTGCAGGTGTGGACTGACCTTCACAACTCTCCCACTCCAACCAAAAGCAACGTACCTGAAGCTTCAAACACTTAAGTCACCTTTGGGCCCCTTTCCAAACAGCTTGTTTCCTTGAGAATTCCCAGTTACAAAGCAAACTCAACCTATCCTCCTTTCTGGCAGGAGACTTAGCCTTTCTGCTTTATTTTCCAAGGATCACAATTTCTCCCCTTAGGGTTGTCACAAAGATTAAATGAGATAATTAAAGGGACCCTCTTTAAAAAGAACATGGTCCAAGACTTGAGTTCAGTTATGTGCTAAACAAAATGTAGCTTTCCTCTCTGTACATTTCCTCAAAATGTAGCTTTCTTCCTGTATGTTGTAGCTCTCTCTCTCCTTATCATTCAAAGGGAAAAGGACAAGTGAAGAAAAGGTTTTAGTCGTGTTACTTTTTTCCATTTATTTATTTATTTATTTTGAGACAGAGTCTGACTCTGTCGCCCAGGCTGGTGTGCAGTGGTGCGATCTCGGCTCACTGCAACCTCTGCCTCCCAGGTTCAAGCGCTTCTCCTGCCTCGGCCTCCCAAGTAGCTGGGACTACAGGTGCCCACCACCGCGCCTGGCTAATTTTTCATATTTTTAGTAGAGATGGGGTTTTGCCATGTTGGTCAGGCTGGTCTCGAACTCCTGACTTCAGGTGATCCACCCACCTCAGCCACCACGCCTGGCCAGTCATGTTACTTTTAGAAACCTGTCGATATGCAAACAAAAAAAGAAGACGAAAAAATAAACACATTGTTATATTCCTCAAGCCTGGAAGCAGACTGGTGCCACCTGGAATCTAAGAGAACGGAAATGCCTAGAAAAGATACTGAAATTGCCCCAGACAATTTCTGTAGTGGGTGATCTTTCTGTAGTGAGTGATGGGCCCTGAGAAGTCTGACTTGAGGCATACAAGGGTTCTCTTGTCTCAACAGGATCCTCAGGAACCTTCCTTCTCCTTGGGATCCTAACTTCAGATACCACAGATCTCAGCATTTTGGCCCATCTAAGAGACAATGTGGTTTGGAGCTCTTGGATTCTTTGGGAGAAGAAATTAGGCAGAGGAGGTGTAGGAGTCCCAGAAGAAGTCCTTAGTGGAGAAGGGGAACAACTCCGACAGGTCCTTCAACTAGGTGTTATCGGAACCTTTTTTTTCCTTCTTCAGAGCCAAGGTTTCACTCTGTTGCCCAGGCTGAAGTGCAATGGCATGATCATAGCTCTCTGTAACCTCAAATTTCTGGGCTCCAGACATTCTCCCATCTTGTCCCCACAAAGTACAAGGATTACAGGCCCAAGCCAACACACCCAGCCAAAACTCTAAAATTTAAACCTTTGTTTTATCCTCAAACAAGTATTCTGGACCCAGAGACATTGAACTGAAAGAAAACACTCATTAGGAACTAGGCCTCATTACCTTGCCTTATGTATTATTTTTCTCTTATAACAACAGTATTACTGTGTTAAAAGCATCAGTTTCTTAAATGCAAACATTAAAAATATATAACTATTTTTATTTTCCTGTTTTGCTTTTGTTTTGTTTTCAGATGGGGTCTGTGTCACCCAGGCTGGGTTACAGTGGTGTAATCACAGTTCACTGCAGCCTCAAACTCCTGGGCCCAAGAGATCCTCCCACCTCAGCCTCCTGAGGAGCTGGGACCACAGGTGCACACTACCATGCCCGGCTTTTATTTATTTTCTTTCATTTTCATTTTGATTCATTTTTTGAGACAGAGTCTGGCTCTTGTCACTTAGGCTGGAGTGCAGTGGCCCGATATTGGTTCACTGCAACTTCCGCCTCCTAGGTTCAAGCTATTCTCCTGCCTCCTGCTCCCAAGTAGCTGAGATTTCAGGCTCACACCACCAAGCCTGGCTAATTTTTGTATTTTTAGTAGAGACGCCATGTTGGCCAGGCTGGTCTCCAACTCCCGGCCTCAAGTGATCCACCTGCCTCAGCCTCCGAAAGTGCTGGGATTACAGGCATGAGCCACTGTGCCTCGCCTTGTTTGTTTTTTAAATGTTTGGGGGCTGTGTGTGTGTGTGTGTGTGCGCGTTGTTTGTTTTTGAGATGGAATCTGCTCTGTTGCCCAGGCTGGAGTGCAATGGCACGATCTTGGCTCACTGCAATCTCCACCTCCCAGGTCAACAATTCTCCTGTCTCAGCCTCCCAAGTATCTGGGATTACAGGTGTCCACCACCACACTGGGCTAATTTTTTGTACTTTTATGAGACAAGGTTTCATCAAAAGATGGTGAAACCCCATCTTTAAATACACACACACACACACACACAAAGAAAAAAATTAAGCGGGCGGGGTGGTGGCGCCTGTGGTCCCAGCTACTCCAGAGGCTAAGGTGGGAGGATCACATGAGCCAGAGAAATCGAGGCTGCAGTGTGCCGAGATCGTGCTGCTGCACTCCACCCTGGGCGACAGCGAGTCCCTGTCTCAAAAACAAACAAACAAAAAACTGCCAGCCTTAACAACAGTAACAAAAAAGGCAATGGCTAAGGCCCCTCCCAACCTTTCATGCCCACTTGGGAGCCCCTGGGCAGCCCTTATTTTTTTTTATTCTGGACCTCAGCCCTTACATTTAAATGCCCCTTTGGGAGGCCAAAGTGAGCGGATCACTTGAGGTCAGCAGTTCAAGACCAGCCTGGCCAACATGGTGAAATCCCGTTTCTACTAAAAATACAAAAAATTATTACAGGCACCAGGCGTGGTGGCAGGACTCTAATCCCAGTTACTTGGGAGGCTGAGGCAGGAGAATTGCTTGAACCTGGGAGGTGGAGGGTGCAGTGAGCCAAGATCGAGCCATTGCACTACAGCCTGGGCAACAGAGCGGATTCCATCTCAAGAACAAACAATACACACACACACAGGCTGCATTCCAGCCTGGATGACAGAACAAGACTACTTCTCAAAACAAAAGGCGGGGCGGGGCGCGGTGGCTCACGCCTGTAATCCCAGCACTTTGGGAGGCCCAGGCAGGTGGATCACGAGGTCAGGGGTTCGAATCCAGGCTGACCAACATGGTGAAACCCCTCTCTACTAAAAATACAAAAATTTGCTGGGTGTGGTGGCACGCGCCTGTAATCCCAGCTACTCAGGAGGCTGAGGCAGGAGAATTCTTTGAACCTGGGAGGCTGGGGTTGCGATGAGCCGAGATCGCGCTCCAGCCTGGCCGACAGAGCAAGACTCCATCTCAAAAAAAAAAAAAAAAAAAGAGCCGCTAATGACCACTCATATGACCCACTCATTTTTGGATCTGATCCTAAGAAAATCCCTTAGAAAACATGGCGACGCCAGCTTCACCACTTGTTTCCAAAAGCAATGAAGCGCCCTTCGCTCGCTTAGTCAAGCTGACCTTAATAAATAAGGCACTGGACGCCCTTCTCCGGCTGGTCACCCTGCAGCGTACTGGCACTGCCCACCCAAGCCGGCGTTGCGGCTCCAGGCAGGTCTCTAGGATCGCGCTCGCTGATAGGACTCTTTCAGCTAGACGTCCAAACAAGGTGCGCGGTGATTGGGCCGTGGAGGGCCGGTACGTTTGAACGGCGCGTGCGTGGGAGTCCCGAGGGCGGTGCCGTTGGGATCCTGGTGGGCGGTAGGACTTCGGTTCTGGAAGGAGAAAACTAAGCAGGGAGACGTTCAGGGACCCGCGGGTTCCGAGACTGGACCTGTGGCTCTGTCCACCTGTAATGTAGTGGTCAACGGGCGGTGGCAGAACCCTGGGGGGCCCTGGCCTCCGCCCCAACCGCGCTAGTGGGAGGAGGCCGAGCCTTCCTCGTCGAAATCGCTAAGTCCCTGCCGGGCAGTGTAGCCAAGACGTCAGAAAACCGCGTGCGAGCTTGGCACTCACAAAGCATCGATAACGGTTATATTTTCTCCTGTAAAATGGGAGGGGGTAAACCCCAACAGAACATTATAAAAGATTCCTACAGAGAAGAATCCTCCTGGAAGTCAAGTAAAAATGTGTGAAGGTGTTTTTTTTAAAACATGAAATATCCAAGCACTTTGGAGGCCAATGCGGGTGGATCACCTGAGGTCGGGTGTTCAAGACTACCAACATGGTGAAACCCCGTCTTTATAAAATAAAAAATAAAAAGAAAATATGAAATATCCAGAATAGACAGATCTATAGAAGGACTGGGGAAAAGGGAAGTGAATGCTAATGAATATGGAGTTTCTTTTTGGAGGGATGAAAATGTGCTAGTATTGATTGTGGCCATGCTAACACAAAAATCCGTTTAATTGGCTGGACGCTGTGGCCCAGGGGAAAGGACTAGGGGGAATGGGGAGTGAATGCTAATTAATATGCAGTTTCTTTTTTCGGTCATGAAAGTGCACTAAAATTTTGATACACAAAAATTAAATTGAACACTCTGTACACTTCAAATAGGTGTATTTGTGATATGTGCATTCTAGCTCTAACTTACAAAATGTCTGAAAGTTGTTTGCAACTTTACTAAAAATAGGGGGAGCTCTATGTTTACAAAACTATCCCCATCCAGGCCGGGCATGGTGGCTCACATCTGTAATCCTAGCACTTTGGGAGGCCGAGGAGGCAGATCACTGAGGTCAGGAGTTCGAGACCAGCCCGACCAACATGGTGAAACTCTGTCTCTACTAAAAATACAAAAATTAGCCGGCTGTGGTGGCATGCGCCTGTGGTCCCAGCTACTTGGGAAGCTGAAGCAGGAGGCTGAGGTGGAAAAATCGCTTGAATCCAGGAGCCGGAGGTTACAGTGAGTCAAGATTGCGCCACTGCAATCCAGCCTGGCGACAGAGCAAGACTCTGTCTCAAAAAAAATCAATAAATAGCCAGGCGCGGTGGCTCAAGCCTGTAATCCCAGCACTTTGGGAGGCCGAGGCAGGTGGATCACGAGGTCAAGAGATCGAGACCATCCTGGTCAACATGGTGAAATCCCGTCTCTACTAAAAATACAAAAAATTAGCTGGGCATGGTGGCGCGTGCCTGTAATCCCAGCCACACAGGAGGCTGAGGCAGGAGAATTGCCTGAACCCAGGAGGCAGAGGTTGCGGTGAGCCGAGATCGCGCCATTGCACTCCAGCCTGGGTAACAAGAGCGAAACTCCGTCTCAAAAAATAAATAAATAAATAAAAAATAAAAATCAGCCGGGCGTGGTGATACATGCCTGTAGTCCCAGTTACTCGGAGGCTGAGGCAGGAGACTTGCTTGAACCCGGAAGATGAAGGTTGCAGTAAGCCGAGATCATGCCATTGCACTACAGCTTGGACAAGATAGAAACTCCATCTAAAAAAAAAAAAAAAAAAAAAAAAAAACGACCCCCATCCAGTCCTTTGAGGTGAACAGCATTTTATATTTTATATTATTTATTTTTAAATATTTATTTATTTATTTATTTATTTATTTTTGAGACAGAGTCTCACTCTATGGCCAGGCGCCAGGCTGGAGTGCAGTGGTGCGATCTCGGCTCCCTGCAACCTCCACCTCCCGGGTTCAAGCAATTCTCAGCTTATTTTTGTATTTTAGTGGAGACGGGGTTTCACTATGTTGGCCAGGATGGTCTTGATATCTTGACCTGGTGATCCACCCGCCTTGGCCTCCCAAAGTGCTGGGATTACAGGTGTGAGCCACCGCGCCCGGCTATTTTTTTATTTTTATTTTTTGAGACGGAGTCTTGCTCTGTTGCTAGGCTGGAGAGCAGTGGCGCAGTCTTGACTCACGGCAACTTCCGCCTCCCTGGTTCAAGCAATTCTTCTGCCTCAGCCTCCCGAGTAGCTGGGACTACAGGTGTGTGCCAAACACCTGGCTTATTATTATTATTATTACTTTGTATTTTTCTTTTTCTTTTTTTTTTTTTTTAACCTCTCTGTGCCTCAATCTCCACATCTGTCAAATAGTGGTAATAAATGTCCCTATTTCATTAATTGTTGAGTATTAAATCACATAATTCACGTGCAAAGCTTGAAACATAGTAGGCACCCAATAAGATCTCTCATTGGTAGTGGTATAGTTCATATTTATTGCTTCTCTCCTTTAAGCATTTTCTTTCTTTCTTTATTTATTTTTTGAGGGAAAAAGAGAAAAAGAAGGGGAAAAAAAGAAAAAGAGGGAAAAAGGAATATTACTTCATTCCTAAAATGGGTTTCAATAATGGCCGATCAATATTTTGAGTGTTTAAAGTGGTTAATGCATATTTTATGTGTTTAAAATGGAGACCTCTATTGTGTTTATTTGTTCTGGCTCTGAGTTCAGGTCCTGGATATCGTTATCAATTTGTTGTCTCGTTGAATCTAAATCTCATTATGTGTCTTATGTATCTGGGTGTTAAGATCTCTTATTGTTGCATTAATCCTTTTACCCTTGCATCCTTGTAGCTTTGAAATCTATTTTATTAAGTGTGAGAATTGCAACTCCTGCTTGTTATTTATTTATTTTTGCTCTTCATTTGGTTGGTGAGTTTTTTTCCATCCCCTTGTTTTGAGTCTTTGTATATCTTTAGATATATCGTTAGATTTTGTGGATAATGTATATTTTGTGTGTTTAAAATGGAGAGCTCTATTGAGTTTATTTGTTCTGAATCTTAGTTCCAGTCCCGGATATCGTTATCAATTTTCTGTCTCGTTGAATCTAAATCTCATTATGGGTCTTGTGTATCTGGGTGTTAAGATCTCTTATTATTACATTAATCCTTTTACCCTTGTATCCTTGTAGCTTTGAAATCTATTTTGTCAAATGTGAAAATTGCAGCTCCTGCTTTTTATTTATTTATTTTTGCTCTCCATTTGGTTGGTACGTTTTTTTTTTTTCCCAACCCTTTATTTTGAGTCTATGTATATCTTTGGATATACCGTTAGATTTTGTCTGTATCTTTTGATGGGGAGATTTGGTCGATTTAAATTTAGGGTTGCTGCCGTTTGATATTAACTGGCTATTTTGTCCTTTCGTTGATAAAAATTCTTCTTTATGTTAATGCTCTTTACTTTTTGGTGTATTTTTAGAAAGGGTCATACTGGTTGTTCCTTTCTGTGTATAATGCTTCTTTTAGAAGTTCTTGTAAAGCAGGCCTGGTGGTAATAAAATCTTTGAGTACTTGCTTGTTCCTAAAAGATTTTATTTTTCCTTCAAATGTAAAGCTTAAATTGGCAGGATATGAAATTCTGGGCTGAAAGTTCTGTTGATTAAATATATTGAATATTGGCCCCCACTCTCTTCTAGCTTGTAGGGTTTCCGTTGAGAGATCTGCTGTAAGCCTAATAGGCTTACCTCTATGGGTAACTTGATCTTTCTCTCTGGCTGCCCTTAATATTTTCTCCTTCGTTTCGATCTTGGTGAATCTAACGATTATGTGCCTTGGGGTTGGTCTTCTTGAGGAATATCTTTGTGGTGTTCTCTGTATTGCCTGGGGTTGAATAGTGTCCTGCTTTGCTAAATTAGGAAAATTTTCCTGGATAATATCCTGGAGAGTATTTTCCAGCTTGAATTCATTCTCTCCGTCACATTCAGGTACACCAATCAAGCGTATATTAGGTCTTTTCACATAGTCCCATATTGCTTGGAGACTTTGCTCATTCCTTTTTTTCCTTTTTTCTCTATTCTTGTCTTGTCGTTTTGTTTCATTAAGTTGATCTTCGACCTTTGATACCCTTTCTTCTGCTTGATCCATTCGGCTGTTTAAGCTTGTACATATTTCACTAAGTTCTCGTGTTGTATTTTTCAACTCCATAAGTTCATTTGTATTCCTCTCTATATTGTCTATTCTTTTCAACATTTCATCTAACCTTTTTTCCAAGTTCTTAGTTTCTTTACATTGGGTTAGAACAAGTTCCTTTAACTCCCAGAAGTTTCTTATCATCCACCTTTTAAAGCCTACTTCAGATAATGGAACACAGTCCTTTTCCATCAGGGCTTGTTCCGTTACTGATGAGTCCTTTTCCATCAGGGCTTGTTCCGTTGCTGATGAGTCCTTTTCCATCAGGGCTTGTTCCGTTGCTGATGGGTTCTGATTTTGAGTGTACTCGGCCTTCTTAGGCTGTTTTTTTCCCTTCATTGTAGATGAACCGCCTTTCTAATTAGGTTTCTGAGTCGACGTCCGACTTATTGATTCCCAGTGCTGGGATCCGAGCAACCCACTGTGGCAGCCTAAATAGCAGCGATAAGACTGATGGTGCTCTTCTGCCCGGGAATCTCTGGTCTGGCTTCCCTCTTGAGTCCACAACAAGCGGCTGTGACTTCCCGGAGCTCCAAACTCCGGTCAGTAGGGGAAGCAGTCCCGTTGGCTCTGCATGAAGAGCTGCTGCGCCGAGAAGCCGGCAAAACCGCTGCGGCGGCCACAAGAGTCGCGCTGGCGACCCGTGGGGCTCCTCCACTGGGAATCGGCTGATCGGTGAGTGACGAAAATTCGTCTAAAAGTGTGGCATCGTCTCGTTCTCTGGGCTTTCACTGGGAGCTACAATCCTGAGCTGTTAGTGGGCGGCCAACTTGGATCGATCTCCCCTACTTTGTATTTTTAGTAGAGACGGGGTTTCAGCATGTTGGCCAGGATGGTCTCGATCTCTTGACCTCATGATCCACCTGCCTCAGCCTCCCAAAGTGCTGGGATTACAGGCATGAGCCACTGCACCGGGCCTTATTTTTTAATTTTTGAGACGGGTCTCGCTCTTGTTGGCCCAGGCTGGAGTGTGATGGCGTGATCTCGGCTCACTGCAACCTCTGCCTCCCGGTTCAAGCGATTTCTCCTGCCTCAGCCTCCCGAGGTAGTTGGGGTTACCAGCACCACCACCATGCTAGGCTAATTTTTGAATTTTTAGTAGAGATGGGATGTCACCATGTTTGGCCAGGATCCTCTCGAATTCCTAACCTCAGGTGATCCCTCCACCTCAGCCTCCCAAAGTGCTGGGATTACAGGCATGAGCCACTGCGCCTGGCTTATTTATTTTGAGAAGGAGTCTCTGTTGCCCAGGCTAGAGTGCAGTGGCACGATTTCAGCTTACTGCAGCCTCCACTTGCTCAAGCAATTCTCATGCCTCAGCCTCCTGAGTAGCTGGGATTACAGGTGTTTGCTACCACATCCGGCTAGTTTTTGTATTTTTAGCAGACGGCGTTTTGCCATGTTGGCCAGGCTGGAGGTGGCACAATTGGAGGGCAGAAAGCACAGTAAAAGATGCTCTGGAAGCTCAAAAGGGAAAACCTCAGAAGTCTTGCACATATGGGTGGGGCTGCTGTTCCAGCTGGAGCTTCAAGGATGATAGACTCTAAACAAATGCAGTAGTAGTGAAAGATAGGAAACCATAGAAAATATGCAGAGGTAATAATTAGATGCAGGCCTTACATGGTGACTTATGCCTGAAAT